TATATATATATATATATATACCCAACGTTATGGATGATTTCAGTGATACCATCAAACCCCTACTTGTTTTTATATTCGTATTATAGCGGCAGGCCAGAACAGTATATTTTTTTGTAGGTTTTCGAAGACAAAAGGAAACCATGATATTGAAAAAATGTTTCCCGATTCCATAAATGGCTATGTCAAATCACTACTCACCTTATCTGGCGTTGATTCAAGGGAAAGATTTTTCAAATCTTCCATAAAGTCCTTAGTTGCAATTTCTGCATGAAACTAAAAATGAATTAAATTAAAACAAACACAATTACAATTAAAAAGAACTCTCCTTATAAGAGGTAAGATACCTTAACACCACAGTTTTTCATGCATGCTTCTAGAACAAGTAGCGCGTGATGAGCGACATGCGGGTTTTCATTATGATATCTTTTCTTGATAGCAACAGCAGCGGCTTTCACACTATAAACAGATTTCACGTCACTTAATTTTTTAAATTAAATAGTTTACTTCGTTGGTGAAATACCAAAAAAAAATTTTTTTTAAAAACTCGATTATCAACTCGAATTTTATTTAGCGTCTAGAGAAATTTGATTAAGACCACTTAAAAACTTCCAAGATTTCCTTTTCCGACTTCTTATTGAACTGTTTGTTTTACTTCTTTGAAATGTTCAAGTATCACTACTAACGGAGCAGTTAGTAGAAATGCAGGTTAATAGACTTACGGTACTTCTCCACCACGTATCAAATCAACACATTCCATAATAGCATCCCAATTAGGATCAATTAGTGTGGAATCGGTGGCTTTATCTAGAGACAATAACATATTTCAGTCAGATTATTTATAACTTGCTCAACAATACGATTTTTCCTTATAAATGCTGGGAATAAATAATATAATTAAAAAATATTTGCTAAAAACGGCAAAAAAGTAATCGCTGTGCGTAGAAATCAGAAAGGATGAAAAAATACCTAACTGACGTTCAAAACGTTTTGCCATTAATACACAGATACTTTTCAGGTTTCGAGAGATTTATAATATTAGTCTGAAACATCGATGATTCATTAAATCACCAGCATTACATGCGAGTGAGTATAGAAATGGCATATTTTAGTCTCGAATGACAAGATTCATAGGCAATAAGAAAACAATACGACTCAAGTGATAACCAATAAAAGTTAATATTTTAATAGCAGAATGGAAAGCATCAGCAAGATATGGACTTTATAAAGTAGAAGTAAAAAGGCAGCAAAGCTTCGAATATGAATGACAATAGCATGATCCAACACACCATAACTTGATCAAAATTATCACCTCGTTAATTAGCACGAAGCGGCATAGAGAGCAACAATACCAGATCAGTACCAATCTGAATCTGTCAGCCAGACAATGGGGAAAGCGATTATATCATGTGTAGCGATATTGAGAAATTTGCGTTTCTATGATGTCCTCCCCAGTTTGTATAATATCTCAAGGCTGTTTTTAAGTAAGGTTCCACGCATTTCGAAGAATTTCTTAATGAAAGTAATTCGAAATTCGTACATTATAATTGTCTGAACTAAGCAGCATGAATTACAGAACAGAGCAAATTCACTATACTTATGACAAACTGGAAAATGTAACTAACATGGCTTTGGGATAAGAAATGACAAATCCTGATTGTGTGTGTACTACTCCATTAGTAAGTAAATGATTCTAAAAGCTATGTGTAACACTTCATACTGCTGACAAACCTAACAAGCAACCTCATCCGCATAGGGATTTATTCCCATACCCATCATACTGTTAGCCTGATAAAGCTGTGCATATTATTTAGTAGCTATTCTTATTAAAACTTCGGTCTCACGCAGTATGCCAGTTCAGTTATTTTTAAAGTTCACACTCTCATAAAAAATGGATTCTCTTAAAGTAACACATCTCTTGCCTTTATGAAGACATAGAACTTCATATGCTACAATGACGAGGATACAAAATTACTGCACACAAAAGGACTGTAATACTTTCCATGAAATGGAGACAGCAGTCCAACATAAAGTAAATGACTATTATAAAGGAGGATAAGTTTTGCAATCTTATTCGTCATAGTTACAAGCAGTCTGCTGTCATACCTTTCGAGTACAAACAAATCAATAATCCGCGAGCCGTATTAGCTTATGAACTATTATACAAATTTAGACGTATCTTTGTAGCAATACTTCTGAACAGCATAATTTAAAAATTAATGTTTTTAAATTATATATATATAATCTTCCTGTTTAATAGTCCATAAACTAAAACCTGCTTTCGAACACTATCGATATGTTCACATCATCAGTAAAGACTTGCAATAACAGTAGCACACATCAAATCAAAAGAACAATTATTTTCATCATACTAAATATGTATGAAGCTAATTCAAGTAAATTCGCAAGTAGAACAAATGTAGTGTGGTGCTGATAACTACTCAGCCATAATCACTGTAAAATGGTGGTAAACCACATTCAATGATACAAATTTTACACTAACACATCTAAAGATACACCGTATCCACTAAATTTGTGTCCTAAGTCTTGTACGAGTCGCTAGCACCAACCGATACACTTGACAGCTCGTAATCTACTTATGTAATGATGTGGTGGTCAACTGTCCTTTCATATCATGCGAATAAGTCAGCCCTGAATTTCACAGTTTAGAGAAAAACTAGACTTATGCGATTGTATATCGAGCAGCAAGCATATCAGCTTTAAGTAGACCACTTATTCCCTCAAAATTTGTGGCACAGTTATATGTAAAGGTCTGATGTGGACAGTTCAGAGTAATGATATATTATGACTCCAATACTAATACATGAATTAAAAGCAAATCGACCACCGTTTTAACTTGAGACACTCATAATTAATGAATATGCAGAAAAACTAGATGTGACGTGGGTACTCCCATACATATATACCTCTTCCTAGAGACTCGCCTTCAGTTGCATTCATCTAAACACCTGCTTGCATTTCCAACTTTATTCTGCTGGTTTATAGATGGGACGGTTGGTACTCCACGGATCGGAAGGTGCTTTTCTTTGTCATTTGTTTGTTGATTCATGTGATTACAGTGAATCTAGCCGTTATTTTGTTGTGCTTGTGCTTGCTCATTCTTAGGTGCGCTCTGCAAACTAATGCTTGCGATTGTATTTTGATCTCATGTTACAGTGCTCTTTTACGGAGGAGTTTATTTTCTGCTCTGTGTACTTCCATCACATCATTTTTTGTTCCTTGAAACCAATATTTCCAGAGTTAGTCGTACTTGTATTTATTTCAAGTTCCTATCCTTAATCGTTGTTCATGCTTTTCTAGAGCTGATTAGCTGTGAATCGTGATTTCTCTAGCTTAGTATTATTTCATTCTTTAACGGGATATTTTAGCTTTCTCCAGTTTTACTATCTTGATTGAAACTTTAGGTGGAGTGCATAGCTCACTATCGTTGCTTACGCTAGATAAACATCAGATATTTAAACTCAAGTTTCGTTGTATACAATCTGTCACTAGATTGAATTACTTACTTAATCTTGATCCGACCTTACTAAGCACATATATTTTGTTTATGAATAAAGCACAAGTATAAGGTAGAAACAGGATTCAATTTTATCCTATTGTTGACATCTCGTTAGTTAGGGTACAGTTTCTAAATGTAAATTCAAAATGAAGTTGAACGATAAATTTCCATCATTTTGACCAAGTTAAGTTCATGTAATATTTGATGAATTATGAAGAGATACTGAGATTGAAAGATTCCATTATGATTATTAGGGATAAGTTTTCTCATCTTGGTTTTCTCATCTCATAAGGTACTGATCATTGCAAAATAGCTTGAAAATTTGATCATTGTGATTATTCGGTACTGTTGTAATGAAATCCCTATTTGTATTACTAATTTTATAAACTAACATGTTATTCAGTGCAAAATGCAGTGGTCAATTTTTTGTACCAATCTTAGACAGCTGCATCTTATACCGAATATCATGTTTAGTATATCATAGCTTATGAATGCTAAAGATATGAAAATCTTTCAATTCATTTACTCTTTTTGTAGCATTTTGTGCAACAGGCTGTTCTTGATGCATAACTTGGACGTTTTTATATTCGGCATTTCAAAGCTACTTCAGTTTTTTAGATTTGCTCTTAGGTTAAAACTTTTCCTTTATCTTGATATTTCCTGAATCTTAATATTTTTAGATTATGTACTGCAGTGGCACATCAAGTGGTGCATATCAGCTAAGAGTTCAGAATCTGGTATTGACTGATAAGCTTACGAGTCGTTCAAAAAAAAGGTGTAAATTTTTCAAAAATTACTTTTAGACTCTTTTCAATTTTATATCTCTAGTTCTAGTTGAATGTCGTTGTTGTAGTCATCAATCAGGTGACTGCTGTCCTATCATATCGTAAGGTGACGATTTTTAAAAATTGTCGCCGTATTTTATCCAATGATATACATTTGCCAGTTCTTCATTGAATTTATGGTTACTCGCTTGTAGATAATATTTTTGTTTCAGACCACCAAATACTGGTGCTCTTTTATTTAATACAACTGAAAATGATATTTTATTCTCATTACTCGGTCATGATTGTATTTCATTGGCAGCCGGTATTGTGCAGCTGCTAAAATCTGATTCAAAAAATCCAAAAATTTGGATGAAAGCTCATAGAGGCGTGATTTCACTAGTCAAGGATTACGAGAAACGAGCATATTTCTTACGTCTGTATGATGTTTATAAAAAACAGTATCTTTGGCAGCAAATGTTGTACGTTTTATGCAGTCCTATTTTTTGCTTTATATAGTTGAAACTATTGTCTAGATTGTTATCACGTTACTTATTTTCATTCTCCCAATTGTGCAGTCTTATTTTCTGTTTCTCATAATCTACACTTTTGCAAACATGCTATGATTTCGTTATAAGTTTTGATTAGCTTTCTCATACTTGTAAGAATAACATTAAATTATCTTTTACTGTATTCTATCTTTGAGGTACAAGAACTTTCATGCGTTGCAACCTGTGGGATGTCCAAATCTGTTAACTTTTGAAGGAGATGAATGTATATTTGGCTTGAATTTTTCGAGTAAAGAAGAAGCAAATAGTTTCAAGTCTCATCTTGACAAACGATATGAACAAGAAAAAAAGTCTCGTTAGTTTGATTTAACTTATTCAGAGTATTCTAGATGACTCCATGAAGAAGAAATATAGTTGTCCAGTTTACCTGCAGTGAAGATTATGAGAAGTCGTATTATTGGTCCATGAACAAGTACATATTTTATTTAGAGGAAAAGGACAAATTAATGATTTCTGACTCTCAAAATAGTCATATTTTATCGACATCCATATCTTCTGATGGTCGTGATCATTCGCATGCAGTTTCGGTAACACAAAGGACTGGTATTACAAGTATGGGCACGGTGCCGAATATTGGTGGTAGTGCATGGGCAAATTTCGTGACTATAAATAAAGCTAGAAAGAAAATGACGAGGAAAGATAAGAAACAGAAGATTCGGAAAGAGGATATAAGCAATCCAACTAATTTTCAGTTCGTGGTTTTAGGACTTTCATAAATAGAATTTGATATTGTTATATTTATTGGTTGCATAATTATCACTATATATCTACTTTTCGACATGTTCAAAAGCTGTGGTGTTGTACAGTATCATGTGAAGCTTTTTTTCTTTGATTTTTGCTCCCTTAAAAGAAATAAAAGTTCATCTCCTGCATTCTGCTTGATTTTTAACGTTTAGATATTGCAGACATAAGGCGCATCTTGGCTGGAATCAGGATGGTGGTTTTTCTCAGGAAACATATAATTACGATCCAATGGATGATAGTGTGAAGGCTGTACTACGTGCTGCTGGAGAAAATCCCGAAAGGATGTCGAAAGATGATTTAGAATTCTCTAAAAAATTCATCAGTGGATATCAAGAAGTACCTCTTCCTCCAGCACCTTTGCATCACAGTCATCCTAGGTATAGGGAAAATTTTCAATTTCTGTATTTTATGTATTGCTCCTTAAGATTTGTTCGCATTATTCTAGATATTAATCATAAAATTCATCAGATTGACCATTTCTTCGGCAATTTCAAAAACATCATTACTATCATCTGCTCCTCCTTTGCCGCTATCTTCAATCCGACGAGACACTTTTAATGTTACTCCAGTTTCAAGACCACCGCCGAAACCTTCAGCCAGCAGCAAACCCCCCACAAGACCCTTACCACAGGTGGATCTGTCTCTAAAATTATGCATTGAGAAATACCAGAAATTTGAATTCTAGAGTTGAAGCTTGTCGAAGTTTTAACTTTTATGTTTATAGCTTATTTTCAGTGTTTTAAATTTTGAAAAATAATTTGAATAAACAGGCAATTTTTAGCCACCAAATGCAGTGAACGGTTCGCATTCAGCTTATCGACCTAATGATACACCACCGCCTCCACCACCACCACCGCCACTTTGTCCTGCACTCTCGGTGCCAGTGTCACAACTTCAATCTCCAATTCCTGCTGCTAGTGCATTTGCTCCTCCCCCACCTCCACCTCCTCCTTCATTTCTTTTGACGAACTCTGCTAGCACAGCAGCTGTATCACCTTTTGCGTCGCACAACTCTACTTCCGATTATAGAGATGATAGCAGATCAAATTTACTGAATGTAAAACTTTTTTTCTTTTTAATAACTTGTTATTGTAAAGCAAATATTTTGACATTCAATCTTTCACATACTCACAAGTTTTTGAACATTTAGAATATGATTCAAAAAACTCTTATCAAATTCAAGTTGGCTTGGTTTATCTATGCATGTCCTTCTTTTTTTTTCAGGAAATTCAAGCAGGTGTTACTTTGAAGCAAGTAAAAATGACGATGAACAAAAATGACTGTAATACACTCGATACACACACTGAAATTATGGCTCAGATACGACAGGGTGCCAATCTCAAGCCTGTTAGCGTTAGCCTTTATGTTGTAGTCTGTTCAATCAACGTGTATTGTAATTCAGTTTTTGTGTACTAATATTTGTGGATGAGTAGTTTTGAATCTCTTAACTTCAAAAGTATTAGTTTTGTACTTTTGAGAGTTTCGTGCATTATTTCTTGACAGAACATCATTTCTTTTGTCAGTTCATGCTTTTGAAGGTAGACAAAGAAGAAGTAGAAAATCGAAAATCTGTGCCGAACAGTGCAGATGTAGCTGGAATTGCTGGTGCATTAGCTCGTGCTCTGGAGGAAAGGCGACGAAATATGCGAAATTCAGATGGTTTGTTATTCTATCTATTAATTAATTGTTTATCACCATTATTTTTGTTCAGTGCTGTGTTATATGGATGACAGAATGTTGCCAAAAGGTGACAAATTTATATTTTTTTAACAGCTAAATTTTAATTAGACAAGAAATTTCAGAGTCTGACTCAGAAGCAGAAGAAGAAACACACAATAATGATAGTGAATGGGAATCAAATTAAATGGCTACTTCCAAGTATAAAAAGGTAATAGACAATTTTGTTTAGCAGAGGCTAATAAGTGGTAAATGTTCCTTCATTTGTTATTTGGCATTATTTATTTCAACTTTATATATAATTGCTAGTTCTTTTTCTTGCATATTTTATAATCTAAAAGATCTTTTTCGTTTCATAAACTTAAAGTTTTGTGATGCTTTGCAAGTTTTGATTTTCTATATTCTTATGGTTTGGCAGATATCAACTAATGGCGAGGTGTTTTTCGCAGTCACTTTCAATATGGGTAGGTATAATGATATGTCTGAACGCACTGCTGATATTTTTGCTTCAATCAAACATATTCCACATTCTTCTGTTATTTCTTTTATTCTACGTTTTAATATCTGTGCTCAATTTTTTTAGGACTTTCTATTCAAATTTATATACGTAAATTCGTTTTATTTATTATAATTAATTATATATAGTTGTGCACGCGAAAGAGTTTAGTAAATTTTCAAACCTTTGATATTTTTAAAATAGTTTAAGGTTTTTTTTCAATTCTTTGAAGAAAGGCTTGCTCTTGTAAGCACCGTTTATTTTATAACACCAAAGAAAAAACTAGTTTTTCTGCCCCGTTTCCACTTTTTTTAATGCGAATTTTCCCATCCATTCTTTGTTTCGTCATATTTTTTTATGGTACATCAAAAACATGCGTATGCTTCAACCACCTTTTTTGCTCTAGGACTGAAAAAACTTTTTGAATGCCTAGATTTGGGTGATTTAGTTTCTTTCAAGTTCATTATTCATATAACAATGCTGATTTCGATGTAATACTTGTACCGTAGTTATCATAACTACTAAGTGCACATTTTTTTTCAATCTATGTTATACATATAGCAGTTCCGTAATGTGTTTTGTCAACTATAAATAAAACTATATGTCACCATATTTCATCTCGCTACTACTTTGAATATTTGTTCAGATTGCGATACGAGGAGAGGGGAGAAGTTATTGAGAGAGCTACAAAATTATTTTTGGATCACTAATATTAGTATTTGGTTAAGGGGTTAACATGTGTGACGAAAGATATTTGTGGCTTTTAATGGCCACAGAAGTGAAATATCTTGTGATTAAATATGGTTGCACTGCTAATGTGTGGATATTAAAGACGGTGTGTTTCTTTCGTAGCAAGATTGGCTGTTGGGAAGAGGCCTCATCCCCTAATTTACAGTTTTTTATTTTTGTATTAGTCAAATATTTGTCGATTTAGAGAAGGTAAATTTATTCCATATCACGTACCAGTTCATACGTTACTGAAGTTTGCATGAAGTGGGCTGTAATGGACTTCAGGCAGATAAAGGTTGAACAAAGGATTTTCAGATCATTAACTTATGAGGCATCTGGTAAGCAGGTTCGTGAGATCAGACGTTGAGGAAACCGTTAGTGACAATGCATGTGTTGATATGTGACGTGTGACTGCAGACGATGAGATAAGAACGTCCAAAAACGTTAACGAAAATGAGCTCTCAAAACTATTGGTCAGTTTCAGAATCTTGATATACGATCATCTTTTTGAGGAACCCTTGGCTTTGACTGGTTATAATTATCCTTGTATATAGTGAAGTAATATGCAGCTACATATATATTTTGAGCCATGAAGTGAAATTGGACAAAACCTGTTTTCATTATATGCAGTCAGTTGAAAAAAAAAAAACAGAAAAGGTTCAATAAAGCTTCAATGTAAAATTATTTTTGGAAGGACAAAATTAGCTGGTGCATATAGGTTGTCCTTAATACTACTGTATCATTTCTGGAACAAATTTAATAAGGCTAGGAAGTTTATGTAATACTAGTCAACAAAAAGAAAGATTTTCTGTACAATAAACTTTCATCTTCAAAAATTTGGTATAACGTTATGCCGTTGAGACGAACATAAAATTCGCATAGAATTTAATTAGAGCAGTGCAGATTTTCCTACAGCTTATTCAAGCATGCATTACTTTAAAACTTCAGGAATTAGTAATCTCCAAGTAGTTTAATCATTTTTTTTGTGTCAGGATTGTTACACATGCATTATTTTCTCTGCTGATGTTGTCTGTTTACTATTTATCGCTTAAGATTACTTACCTTGCAAACTAATGGTTTCAGGAGTTAGAATCTGCTTTTTTTTACTGTCTTATAAGGATTAGAAAAGAAGAGGGTAGCTCTTCATCAAAAAGAATCTAAGGTTTTATTTCTCCACACTGTTTAGAAATTGTAAATAATATGTCTAAAATAGTATAATCTTTCTAGCCGATTTAGGGAAGAAATTTTCAATGTACTTAGTTGTAAATCAGCGCCCTAAAATATCATAAAGTTTTTTGTTCACAGGAATTTTAAAAAATGCGGTTCCGCGAGGAACGAGAGTAAATTTCTATAATTACCTCAACTTCATATCTTAAGTATGCAGATAAGGGTATGTAAGACAAGGAAGAATATATTTTCTCTTTTTCTCGGTTTTGATTGTTATCGCTTTTTCTTGGTTTCGATTGTCGCTACATGCATTCTTTGATCGAGCGAAACCGCCAACTTTGGAAACCTTGTATCCAGCCTACGGCTCCACAAGTCCATGCACAAAACGAGTAGAGAGAAGCTGTCCTTGGAGAATTCCTCGTTGTATTTTCGTCTTCATTATAGTTTCTCCATTCCTTTTTAGTACAACTGACCATCTACATGTGATGCTTCTAAGAAACCTGCTGATTCACACAGGCATATTAAGCCTTTAGATGCATTTGACCAGATACTCGTGATTAACTGAATCGAGCGTTTTTTTAAATGTATGACACTATATTACGTGGTATAAAACTGGTTCCCATGTTGTCTGCATACCTTCAGGTGCAACAGTGTCTGATCTTTCGCACTTTGAATCTCGCCAACAGTTCCTAATTGATTGTCTGCAAGTAGTTTTCTCGTGACAATATCTAGTTGTTATGACTCGCGCCACACATTTCATTGTCAACTTGCAAAGATTTGACATGCAGGTTATTAGCCTAAGTCACTACCTTTGTTTGGGATATCTTCAGGAATCAGATAAGTCGTGCCTTGGTAGAATCATGGATCCTGTTCTTTCCGTTAAAACAAATCCGTCTAGTTATTTTTTACAGATCAGGATGTAAGGAGGTGCACTTCTTAATGAAGAAGTGGATTCCATCAGGGTCTGCCGCCCTCGAGTTAGGCAAATAGAAAACTGCCTTCCTAAATTCGGTTTCAGATGGGCAAGTATCATGCACTTCATAATCTGGAACGAATTCTTCCAGATATTCTCTGTGCCCAATATCATCATCATCTCCTATTTTTGGATTCCACATCTTGGCCCTGTGAGCACGCGTAGAAGAAATCAGACAGTTCTGGGCTTTGAATGCTCATCGGGACTCAGAACTTTTTATTATACTTTCGTACGCTTTGTAAGCATGCTGAGAACCTCATAAAAGTCATGTGTAAGAGCAATTATGATATTCATCTCCCTCATAGAGTTCTTGGCAAAATTCGTTCTCTGAGGGTTTTGTGGAAATTTAACAAGCTTTTCTTCTGTCCTATGCTTGTCTTCCGTCTTGATGGCTTCCTCTCCTGCTCTTTTTCATATGTTCATAACTCGGGTATTGCTGCTTTACGTCTAGATCAACCCTAGGCTAATACAGTATGTTTTGGTCGAAGTACGTGTCATGTGATCTGGCACTCCACGTTGACTCCTCCAAGAACTGTTTTCTATGAGCACGTATGGCCTGCAATACTCGTAGTGACAGAATTCGCTTGTTTCAGTTCTTCGAGGATAACTGCACACAAGAACTTCTCGCTATACAGAGAACGACACAAAGACCATGACCTTCTCGTCGTCCTCCCGAAATGGTCTAGAATAGCTTTCAGCACTTCTTCTGACCATCTACTCTGCGAAACCTCGATTCCTTGAATGAGTACTTCAAGCGTAATCATCCTGACCGTTCCAGATTCCGGTAAGCTGGCAGAGTGCTTTCCTATATCCTTCATGGAGCTCTTCTCAACAATCCAACCTGTTTTCCATTTGTTTTAATTAATGATTCCAGGCTCAACTTTTTCCGTTTATCCTCCATTTTCTTCTCAACTTCTGATATCCTGATTGGAAGACAACACAGCATTCTTCTTTTAGGTTTCGCATTGTTTTCGCATCAGCCTTTTCTTCATCTCTATTCATCCCATACGCATCCTTATTTTTTACCTTTTTTCCGTGTTTCGTCTTCATTGCTTCAGAATTACTGCAGCAAAAGGTTGCATAAGTATTATCATTATTGTTCATTAATTCTTTTCGCTTTTTGGAAATCGCTTGCAGTGAAAAAGGTTCTCCAGAAACGCTTTCCCAGCCATTAGATAACTGATCTGATTGATTGCTGTCAATCGTTTTACTACCAATTACACCGTTCCAGCGTGTCTGACTGTCATTTGTATTGCAACTGATCGCACTGCTATTTCCGCCACTTACTTTCATTGTCGCATCATGACATCGCCATAACAGATAAAGGTAGGACATAGAATGGAATAGTAACCCGGAATAACGAGAAAATATGTTTCTTTCATGACCAGACACAGTCTATCGTCCACCATTACTCATTACCTCAAACTTGGATAAATATATATATATATATATGCATTGGTGTTTGCACATGGAAAGAATTCCACTATACATTATACTTTGTGCTAGAAATATATATCATCCAATGCTCATTCAAATCGGATTATTTAACTCCAACTTCACTATCGCGATTCGGCCCTCACATTTGTCGCAAACTGTCATTGTGTCTGTTTCCAAGTGCATTTGATCATTTATTAGAAGTGTTACACGTGTCTAGGAACTCATTTTAGCTTGAGAATTAGCTTTTCCTTCTCAAGAATTTTTTCTGTATTTCGGCATTTGAGGAGGCCTTATGTCACATCATCAAAAATAAGGTATTAGTATTTCTAACGGAATTTAACACACTTCCTAGATTTCTTCATAATTGTAGATCCACCATCGTAGTTGTCTAGTTTGCTTCAAGATTTATTGAATTATAATGCTTATTATTGCCATACATTCAGAACCATCAAGTTGGCAGATTCATGTTCGTTCTTCATCTCATTCCACAATCTCACCAATTTTGTGTTTTTCGTTTAGGTTCTACGAAACTTGTGGATATTTTCATTGTTGTTGAATAAAACACTAGGGAAGAAAAAGTAAAAGGTAGCATTTCAACATTGCACCAAATAACATAGAATGGCGGAATGGAAGCATGATGCGAATAATACATCAGTTACAAAAAAGCAAAAATTAGAGGTCAAATTTTCTTATTTCATTTGTACTGCAATCAGTTGTAGTATAAATTACTTTTGAAGTGGGAATTTGCAATTGGCTGTAATTTTTAAAACCATGCCTTCAGGTCATTTAAGACAAAAGAGGAGGTGCCAAGAGATGAACGTAAGGTAGACATGGTTGAAACTCAAGATTTGCACTTCATTCCACTGCTCTTGTTTTTTAAATAATGAAAAAAATTTCAGCCGATAATAAATTATGATTTACCGTTCACGGTTACCATGCCCAGCTCTCAGTTGCGTGATTTGGATTTAGTGCAGTGGTTAAATAACAAATTAGGAGACACTAGTGAATTATGGTGTGGTCGTCAAGCAGCTTCACTGCTTTCACGTGAAATGCTGGTGGAATTGGAAACTTGTTTTCAAGCATTGGAACCACATGTGAAACTGAAAATTGTGCTTGCGATCCCGCATTTATCTTATCGTCTACTTACATTGGTATGCATTTCTCTTTCTAAAGTTTGAGATTTCCGGATACATATGTTCAATAGTTAGCAATATAATCCTTATATTTATGTTTTTCAATTTTTTTTTCAAGTGAAAAGAAAGTAATGGCTTTTCTGATATAAATTTATTACATGAATTATGTTACGCTTAAATTGAACCTGGGGAACACTCGTTTCTAACCTATACTACATGGTGATTACAAGCTCTATAGCAGGGTAACAGTGGAAAAAAACTATCTCTTTGTATCGAAATGTACATAATCTAGGAGGTCGTTGTAATGAACAGGGATTATCACTATTTTTTCCTCAACTCATTTGAATGATTTTATGCATTAATTTTTCTCTTTGTTTCAGTGGAAGGAACCAATAATCAATCTTTTGGATTTGGCTCGAAGAGATGCAGACGATTGGGTGGAAATGGTTGCTAATATGTATAAAGATTATCCGAATCGATATGCCATAGTTCCAGTGTTTTACAACGAGGATTCCTTTTTCAATAAATCACTTGATGAGTTGAGAAAGATAGGTTAGTATTAAGAGAAAAAGTTGATTATTATTTCAAGAGTTCATTAATAATTTTTAATTCGTTGGGAATAAACAGTGATGATTCTGTATTCACTTGAGCCTGTTTTAATTTGGGGGCAATGCGGTACTTTTTATCTGCAGTACAAGCATCCATGTACAAAGCAATTTCGATGATTACTATAGCGTTATACTTATTATCCCTAAAACCTTTCTGTCATCAAGTCAAGTTAAACAATTTAGTCGTTATAGAGATAATAGAAACTTGATGTTCCTTACATTTTTATGTCAGTTAATTAACTTTCAGTCAAAAATCACTTCACAAATAACAATTTGCGTTTACTTCCTCCTGAATTATGCTCCGTTTCTCAAAATGCAATCAAGGTTTAATATTTAGTTTTAATTAGTATCACCGACCTCTGTAATTACGATAAATCATTTCATCGCTAACAAATCTTGCTAATCAGTAGCATTATATTTTCTATTATAAGATGATCTTATCTCAATAAGCATGTGCATTTCATAAATATTTTTAAGGCACGTTTTGGGATTACTGAAATTGAAACTCGCAAACATTTTAATTTGAAACGACGAGCTAAATCTTCAGTGCTGAAAGCGGAACTTCTGAAATGTTAGTGATTTACTAAGCGAAAGTTATAAAAATGTGTGTTTGGGAACAGTCGGTTATTTTTTCTTCGTTTATTTTGCTTATTTTCTATATTTATGTTTTAGCACTTGAGATTGCATGCAGCCGAAATAAGAATCAAAAATATGATGTCGTTTCAACAAGTTTTCCTATTCGATTACGAAGCACTCTTCGAAAACCAAATAATGATTGTTAGTTTTTTGTTGCTATTACGTAGTAGTTTAAGTAAGCAAATTAAGAATCTTTCTTGTTTTGTTTTTTAGTGTTTCCATTTTCTGCACTTATATTTAAATTATTATTTGGTATTTCGATTATAAATCATTTTTTATAGTATGTATTGCAATAACAATTTTTATATCCACGCATCAGATTGGGTTTTTCACGTGGTCTTTATTGTCTCAGTTTACCTGGGTATCTAAAAAATCTTGTTTTTTTAGTGCTAGCAGTTAGATTGGTGTTCAGTTAGCGCTCCGTTTTATTTAGACCTTAAAACTGTTATATACTGTATTGAGACTTCAATATCTAATTATTTGTTTCAGTACCGATGCGTGGAATACCCAACACGAACACCTGTAAATTGTCGGCTGGATTTACCAATGAACCGCGGAAATTTCCTCGTCAACTTATAAGACGTGAAGGTGGTGCAAAGTTTATTGAAATTGGAGAACTTCCACAATCATTAAGTGCTCGTCGGAAAGAATTAGAAGCAGAGGAACGAGCTAGAAAGCACCATGAAAGGGAACTGCAAAGAAAACGAATGCAAGCCGAGAAAGTTATAAAAGTCGCATTATTTTATTTTTTGATAGAAACATCGATTTTCATCAGACTTATATTTTTAAGACATGATATTTTATGACGCTGGTCATCACTCTTTAGGATGTTAAGCGAGCTACAATAACTGTGCAGAAACCAAAAACTACTTCTGCTGCAATAGAAAACTCAACATCAGCGATGAGTGAAAATTTGTCCTCTCTTCAAGATGCTCATGCCTCTTATGTTCCAAAAAATATCATTCCGGACGCTTCTGTCATTTCTATTTTTGCACCTGTCACAGCCGTCGCAAATAATAATATGAAGCCAGTACTGACCAAACCCTGTATGTCTTATGGTGACGTTCGTGAAGTTCCTACGGTGCATGCGAAACCCCATCAGAGATCGCAAGAGACGGAAGTATAGTCTTTGCGCTTTCAAGTATTGTAAATTGGACACCTTATAAATAGACTTTATTAGGTGCAGCACTGGTATTAATTTTTATAAGCTCAAATGCATGAAGATCGGAAGATTTATTCCATTGCTTGTACTGTTCATAAAATTCCGTTGTTTTATTTAGTCAAGCTACCAGTACTGTTCTTATCAGAATTATCTTTTGGAAGCTAAAATTTTTGCATATTTCTATAAAATTTTTAATTTGAGCGCGAATTATTTGCTTATCGGCAGTGTGAAGAAATGTTGGCTTCTGCCAATGTGCTAAATGAAGAAGGCCATCGCATGGTAGCTGCTTTCATGTCAGGCAATAAAGGTGGACAAATTTCAGCAAGTTGTCATGTTTTTCCTTTTCATCCTAAAAATTTATTAGTGGTAGACAAAAGTTTCATAGTGGATTGGGAATAGCGAGAAATAAGTGAATGAAAATTAAAATTCGACTTCCTAGGGTTTTTTTAAAACATATTGGTGAACACAGCTTTACGTTTTACGCAAAATTTATAGGCGTTTTTAGTAACAAATTTTACTTCTTTAAAATATTTTTAAAAAAAAGTCTCACCAGGAATTTATAAGATTGCTAAATCTTATTGAGAAAGTCATGAGTTTGAATTTTCATATTTAAATAAACTATAAAACATTTTTTTTTTTCATTATTTTGTCTCTCTGACTCACTTTAAAGGTCTTTCAGTTCATCCTTACCCTCATTTGGGTGATGTTTTGACTTTAAAATTATCGGAATCATATGAAGATGAACTTCGATCTGATGGAACAGAACAGAAACTGCGTGTTGAAACATTTTTCCAGGTATTAATGGTTTTAAGTGATATAAAAACAATGTATTTAAAGCTAGTTTTAGTTGGTATATGATGAAAAAGCTTTGACAGGCATCTGTAGGATTTTGATGTTAGTAGTACCGTTATTCTATTCCTTTAACCAGAGTGAGTTTGAGAAATCTAAAAAACTGGATGCATCAATCAGAAATTCGCTTTAACTGTTATATCCAGTGAGAAAGCATAGGTTGTCAGATATCTTTAAGTTGAAGTATTTCAGATGGATTATCGAACAGGGGAGTGGAAACGTTTACGAAAATCACGAGCTGTACGCAAGGAAGATATGCCAGTATTAGTGGAAACATTCGTGCATCCAATAAATTCTCCATCAGCAGGTTGAGTTAAAATGTTCGTTTACCGTCATGTTCGGAATTGGCATCTCTGTACTTTGTACATCATCTTTCATTAGCTAACATGTCATGACATTATTGGATTTAACAACAAAAATTGATTTCAAATTCACATTTAAATCAGATTTTTCTAGTGTTACATGTACTTTTCCATAACATTTAACTAGTATCGAAATTCGTTTGTTGTGTTTAGAAGCTGCTTCTAATTTTTATTTTTATTCATCAATTGTAATGCAAAAACGACTAATATTGATGTAAATCTGTAAATTTTTTCATGAAAAAAAAGAAATAGGAATGAAATATTTCTTTTTTTCTTAGAAAAATTCTGTCTTGAAGAAATGATTATAGTTACCATTTCTTCGAGTCTAGAAGATTTTTAATTGCTTCAGATCGAAGAGAACTTATCGTTTTTTTTTTCAAATTCATTTATTTTACATTGCGTCATTATTTGTATATTGTTTTATGATTAGATAATGAAATTTTTCATCTACATTTTCGATATTTATTAAGTACAGATTTACAGAAAAGGAGCAGTGGCATCTCAGAACAGATGAGTATGTAGGCTGTTAAATTTTATGTTTAATGATTAGTATTTAACGAAGTTTGTAGCGAACCAGGAAGGTTAAAAAATTAGTAATTTGTAAGTTTGAAAGTTTTTTTTCAATATTTACACGAAATGATTGTTTTATGGATAACGTAACTTAAAAATGGATTAAGGTTTTAAATTTTGTGAAAGACTGATACTAATTTTATTTCCCTTCTAACATTTAGCCCATACTTTCGCATCTGAAATTTGGCAAGCTGTAAGACTTATTATCATGTAACTGTCAAAGACAAAAGTATGAAACCTGCATAAAGGATGATACGATCATCACATCTGCAATATCAAGTGTCAAAAATAGAAAAGCCTCAACAGTTGAGATTTGTGCTTGCTCGGATTATGTAGGAAACGTAATAGAAACGTGGCTTTAACTATTTTTGGAGATGAACATTGAAAATATGAGTGTACTAGAATAGCTTTCGCGTTTTTAGTTATGGCAGTAGTGATAATAATAATAGTGAATAGAACATATTTGCTGCTCAAAAAAATGTACAGCTCTGAACTAGATAAAATTGATCTGTTATATTCTCGTGGTTCTTACAAAACCAAAGATAACTTGACTTTAATATTACGTGGTGGTTCAGGAAACAATAATAACTAGTAATAATAAACAGTAATTATAGATAACAATAGTAGACAGTAATATTGAAATATCAAGGTTTCTATATACATATATATTGTAAAGAGGAGAAACTTGTCTATTTCTTAATTTTGAAGTTCTGGTTTCGGATCTTTTCAATTTCATGGTTCAGAAATATGAAAGGGATATAGTTAATGCGTACAGGCTGTTTTTTTATTTAGCAAGTAATTTTCTTTTGGTGGCAGCCATCTACACTAGTAACGAAGTTGTGTATCGCTCTCATATTTCATTTCTCCAGATTTCCACTCCTTACATGCATGTATCTCTGTGTTTGAGTTGAATACATATATCATTGTAAACAGTCTATAAAGTTAATCTTTTATCACTATTTTGTACTTCATACAAATTTGGGAAGAACAGATAGTAATGAGATATTATTTTGTTCTTGTAACACTGCAAACTCATTATAGTACAGGGCTTTGTATTAGGTACAATGTTATCAGATAGCAGAATTTTGGCAACAAGTATTAATATTAAAAGTGGATTCACCCGTCTTTGATACACCAAAACTTGTGAAGTTCTATGACCCAAAAGCTTATTAAATTTACGAGTTCATTAATTGAATTACAAGTTGTCAGCCCTTGCCTCATGAGAGAATTATCTTTTACTTATATTTCACGAGTGTCATCACTGATAAGTAATTTGTTGAGATAAGTCCAGAACTTGTATTTAGATTCATAATGGCACT